TTTACTAACTTAAGTGTTAATCCACATACACTCAATTGAAAATTCTTCATAATCTATTGAAATATAATTGCTACTAGGTTTTAGAATCAATAGCTATTACATACTACTAATCCCAAAATAGCATTCATTGAAACAACTTAATTATTTAGTTGTACACCTAAACAATCAAGAAGAACAAAAGAAATATTTAACACAATGGATTAAACACATTAATTAAGAGAATTATAAAGCACAAATTAATTGAAAATCATAACTCGGATTTGAAATAATCCCCAACCACAAATATAATTAGTTACCCATGAAATATTCACAAATAACTAACAATTTCTTATAAAACATTGATGGAAAAAGTGAAAAGAAAAACTTATTGATAAAGAGAGAAAATGGTAGAAAATCCTCCAATATCAATGGGTCATCTTCTCCAAACTAATGCATCATCTCCATATTCCAATCTTCCCCAAAATGTCTAAGAAAATATATGTAAAAGGAAAAGGAAAAAGAAAGAAAACAAAAGGCAAGAAGAAGAAGAAGAACCAGTTGCACCCTTAGAGTTACAAGAATGAAAATATTGTGTTTGGTTGAATGTTTTAACCTAAAACCTAAAGGAAATTGCAGCATTGGTCCCTGAAATTTTGAAAACAATTAAAAATGGTCCGGGTGGCGCCTGGACACCACAGTTTATGTTTTCTACGCCCAGCCTGTTAAATTTTATTTCATTTTTTAATAGAAACATCCTCTTTCAACGTCTTCATGCTTCCTTTATCTTTTTCGTCTTTTTTCGCATAAATACCTTCAAATCATCGTTCAAAGTCGGATTTTCGTCTACACAATAAAAATAACTAAATTAAGTAATAAATCGCTAATGAAACTCACAAATATCTAAGTTTAATGGCCAGGAATAGTAAAAAAACCCGCACTTATCACACCCCAAACTTAAATCTTTGTTAGTCCTCGAAAAAAACTATACAAACAAGCATAAAAATACTTAAATTAAAACCAAATGATAATACTATAATAACAAACACTCCAAATGTTAGATAATTTGCCACTTACTTCAAGTCTTACATTATGCAACTAACTTATGAAATGTTTACAAAAATGCTACAACAAACACTCTTCTACTTATACCATGTTTGACTTTTGTGTGTGTGAGTGGTCATTCTAATTCCGACCCTCAATAGTCAAATTTTCCTTTCTCACTCATGGGATACACACTTCCCCAAATTTGATATTTTCAATCTAGCCCAAGGTGTCAAGAACTTAAGGTTGCCCTCAAATCACTCAATCTTTTCCTCTCAAATTTGGTTGGGTTGAACCGATAAAATAGATCATCTAGTCATGTATTAATTCGCCAATTTTTTTTTTAAATGCTTAGACCACAAACTTATATTAGGCAAATTACTCACAATCCATCAATTCTTCAACAAAATCACCCCTAGATGCTTATAGCATCCCTTTTATTTTTCTTCATTTTTCCAATGTAGGTAGTTCTTGCTCTGATACCTAAGGGTAGCCTTCTTCATTCGTAGATCGTCTCCTACACATTAGTGATGCATAGGACCAAATTACTTAATGCTGACTCATACTTCTTAGGGTAGGCAACTTTTTCCTACAGATTTTTATTTATTTATGAAATATCACTAGATGGAAAACAACATCTAACTTTCATTTGAAGTCTAAGAACATTCCACAAAATCAATCACTGAGTCGGGAATTAATACAATTCTAAATAATTTCTTTCACCGGTTCAACCACTCCCAAACTTATCCTTTCATTGGTGGAGTAATTGAAGAATTTCTAATAGTATGGTCATTTAAGTTCGTCAACAACCTACAAGTGCAACCAACAAGTGCGTGTGATGAACCTCATGACCCAAGTGCTCAATAAAGAGTCAAACATGGAATAAATGGATGAAAATAAACAATACTTAGCATTCATGTTCCCAATTCATAAATCAATGCAATGCAATACTCAAATTGCAATTGGCAAAACTATCAAACAACACAAACAAGCATAAAAACAAGTGTTTAACCTGAATTTTTAAGTTTTTAGCAAAAACAAATTTAGCACAAACCACAAGATTCTACAAAAAATTTAGCACATACCACCTCACCCCAAACTTAAATTGCACATTGTCCTCAATGTAAAAGCAAAAATAAATAGAAAGCGCGAGAGGTTCAAATACTCACCTAGTGGTGTTGACGGTGATGGCTGTAATGATGGTTGGGGACCACTGGCGACAAAAATTCACAAAAGCAAAAATAAGTGTCCTCTCTCATGCTTCTTCGTTTGGATCCTCCAGTCGCATTTTCTCCATGTTTTGTGGTACGAAATCGATGCCCATTCACCTTAAACTCTTTCTCAGCCTGAAGGCTTTTGATTTCTACTGCACCATGAGGAAAGACATTAATAACAACAAAATGGTCAATCCATCGAGAACGTAATTTACCTGAAAATAACTTGAGGCGTGAGTGGAAAAGAAGAACTTTTTATCCAACAGCAAAAGCCTTTCTTGAAATCATTTTATCATGGTACGCCTTAATTTTTTCCTTGTAAATTCTTGAACTTTCATAGGCGTCATTTTGAATTTCCTCAAGTTCATTGAGTTGAAGCTTTCTTTGATCACCTGCTACACCTAGGTTCATGTTGCATTGCTTGACTGCCCAAAATGCCTTGTGTTCGAGTTCAACTGGGAGATGACAAGGCTTACCATAAACTAACCGATAAGGGGACATGCCAATCGATGTTTTGTATGTCGTCCTATAAGCCCAGAGTGCATTGAGGCGGAGACTCCAATCCTTTCTAATGGGATTCACAGTTTTTTAAGGATGGATTTGACCTCTCGGTTAGACACTTCGACTTGCCCACTAGTTTGCGGATGGTATGATGTAGCCACTTTATGGGTGATGTTGTATCTTTTCAATAGGGCCCAAAAGGAACGGTTGCAAAAATGTAGTCCTCCATTGCTAATAATAGCTCTTGGTGTTCCAAACCTTGCAAAAATGTTGGATTTAACAAAATCTACAACCACTTTAGAATCATTAGTTCGAGTGGCCCTTGTTTCACCCATTTTGACACATAATCAACGGCAAGAATGATGTAAAGGTTACCATAAGATAAAGGGAAATGTCCAATGAAATCAATGCCCCAAACATCAAAAATTTCAACAAAAAATATGGGTGTTCGTGGCATTTGATTTCGGGCTTCCAACGCACCTACCCTTTGACATCGATCACAAGATTTGCAAAAGAGGAATGTATCTTTGAATAAGGTGGGCCAATAGAATCCACTTTCAAGCACCTTGAGAGCAGTCCTCTTTGTTCCAAGATGTCCACCACATGCATAAGAGTGACAAAAGGTAAGTATTTAATGAAATTCATTTTCATGTACGCACATTCTTATCAATTAATCCGGACAATGTTTTCACAAGTACGGCCCATCCCACAAAAAATACTTGGCCATCGCCTTGAGTTTTTGCCTTTGAGCGGTGGTCAAGTCACTTGTAATTTTCTTAGTGATTAAATAGTTCACTATATCCGCAAACCAAAGAGATGTGTCCATGATGAGAAGCAATTGTTCGTTGGGGAAGCTTTCTTGCAATGGGAAAGTTTCTCTCTCATGGATAAGGCGACTGAGGTGGCCAGCCACAGAATTTTCACTCCCCTTTTTGTCTTTAATATTAAGGTCAAACTCTTGTAAGAAGAGTATCCATATAATGAGCTTTGGTTTTGCCTCTTTCTTGGCAAGCAAGTACCTAAGAGCTGCACGATCAGAAAAGACAGTTACTTTAGTGCTAATAAAACATGAACGAAATTTCTCTAAGGCAAAAATAACTGCTAAAAGCTCTTTTTCAGTAGTAGAGTAATTGAGTTGGGCATCATTCAAAGTCGTTGATGCATAATATATAACATGAGGTGTCTTTCCAACTCGTTGTCCTAAAATGGCCCCCAATGCAAAGTCACTTGCATCACACATCAACTCAAATAGCCTGTTCCAATCTGGTGGTTGAATGATGGGTGCTGATGTCAAAAGTTCCTTCAAGCTTTCGAATGCCTTTTTACAATCTTCATCAAAGTGAAATGGCACCTCCTTTTGAAATAGCCTGCATAGTGGTCTTACACATTTGGAAAAATCCTTGATAAACCTTCGATAAAATCCTGCACGTCCAAGAAAAGAACAAACCTCTCTCACACTTGTTGGAAGAAGTAAAGAACGAATTAGATCAATTTTAGATTTATCAACTTCTATCCCCTTAGAAGAAATGATATGGCCTAACACTATGTCTTGATCGACCATAAAATGACATTTTTCCCAATTAAGTACTAGGTTAGCATCCATACATCTCTTAAGCATAAGTGTGAGATTTCCAGGCAACTATCAAAGGTATTACCATAAACACTAAAATCATCCATAAAGACCTCAATGATGCTTTCAATATAATCGGAGAATATACTTATCATGCATCTTTGAAAGGTTGCGAGAGCATTGCAAAAGTCAAAGAGCATGCACCGGTAAGCAAAGGTTCCAAATGGACAAGTGAATGTTGTTTTCTCTCGGTCCTCCAGAGCAATCACAATTTGGTTATAACCTAAATAACCATCAAGAAAACAATAATGAGAATGACCTGCTAACTTTTCCAACATTTGATCAATAAAAGGTAAGGGAAAGTGATTTTTTCGGGTTGCACAATTAAGTTTTCTATAATCAATACAAACCCTCCAACCCGTTTGGACCCGAGTTGGTACAAGCTCAATCTCTTCATTCGTCACCACTGTGATTCCAGACTTTTTGGGAAGAACTTGGACCGGGCTTACCCACTTGCTATCGGAGATGGGAAAGATGACACCAACATCTAGTAATTTCAAATTTTCTTTTTTCACCACCTCCATCATGGGAGGATTCAAGCGACATTATGCTTCTTTTGATGGTTTTGCTCCATCTTCAAGTAATATCCGGTGCATGCACATAGAAGGGCTTATCCCCTTGATATCAGCTATTGTCTAACCAATAGCTATTTTGTGTTCCTTGAGCACATGGATAAGCCTATCTTCTTGAAGTGTTGTGAGATTCTTTACAATGATCACCGGTAGTGTTTCCCCCTCTCCCAAATATACATACTTCAAATGCTTGGAAAGAGGTTTGAGTTCCAAAGTGGGGGCCTGCATCACCAAAGGTAAAAGTTTCTCTTTAGATATCGGAATAGTAATATAGGAGAGATCATATCTTGGTGGAATACTTGGTAGTGACTCAAGTGATGCCATGGTTTCTACAACATCCTTGCACACTTGTAAATTCTTGCTCAACCCGATGAGATTGTTAGCATCGATGCTTTTAATCAAAGTGGTATCCAATGCATCTTCATTTGATAATTCAAAAACTTTTTGTACTAATGAATCTATTATATCAATTGAAAAACAAGTATGGACATCACTAGGATACCTCATTGCTTCAAAGATGTTGAAGCGAATAATCTCACCATCAAACTCCATTGTCAATGTACCATCATGCACGTCTATCTTTGTACACGTAGTCCTCATAAATGGTCTTCCCAAGAGCAACGGTGACGAAGAAGATGTTGGTTCATCTTGCATGTTAAGAACATAGAAATCTGCCAAAAAATCAATTGATTTACCTGCACCAAAACATCTGCCAACACACCCTTTGGAAATGCATTAGATCTATCACCAAGTTGAATAATAACACTGGTTTCTTTAAGTGATCCTAGATTTAAGAAAGCATAAATAGAATATGACATGACATTAATAGATGCTCCTAAATCTAGCATTGCCTTTTCAAACCTAGTGTTACCAATAATGCAAGGGATGGTAAAACTTTCAGGGTCCTTACATTTTGGTGGAAGTTTTTTTTGCAAGACCGCTGAGACATTTTCCCCTACACTTACCACTTCATTACCTTTCAATCTATGCTTTTTAGTGCACAAATCCTTGAGGAACTTTGCATAACGAGGGACTTGATAAATTGCATCCAAAAGTGGTATGTTCACTTGAACCTTGCGAAAAGTCTCTAAGATTTCTTTCTCATGTTCATCCTTTTTGGACTTTGCAAACCTGCCAAGAAATGGAAGGGAGGGAACATAAGCAGGAATAGAACTTTTAGATCCTACCTTAGATCCCGCAGTTATAGTCGTAGCTTCATCTTTTTCACATGCTAAGTTCTTCTTTTGCGTTGACTTCTTAACTTGATCTTTCATTTTCTTTGGTGCCTCTTCCAAAATTTTCCCACTTCTTAGTGTCATGGCACTAGCATTTTCTCTAGGGTTGATTGCTTGAGAATGAAGTTTTCCCGATCCTTGAACCTCCAATTTACCCATCTTTTTGGCTAATTGACCCATTTGTGTCTCCAAATTCTTAATTGATGTCTTTGTCTCTTGTTGAAATTGTATTGTACTAGAAGCCAAAGACTTAATCATATCCTCAAGAGGCATCTTTGAACTTTGGGGTGGAGTTTGTTGACGAGGTTGTGGGTATTGTGGTTGCCTTTGTTGATTAAACCCCGGGGGATGATTAAACTGCGATCGTGGAGCTATGAAATGATTTCCTCCATAACTGAGATTAGGATGATCTCTAAATCCAGGATTATATGTGTTAACATATGGATCATATCTCTATCTCTGTTGCACTGGAAATCCCCCAATGGCATTCGCTTGCTCCAAGGCTCCTTCTTGCAGTGTCGGACATGCCTCAGTAGGATGTCCTACAATAGAACAAATCCCGCACACTTTTACTTGTTGCATTGTCCCAAGTGCCATTTGTTGCACAAGCGATGTAAGACCGACTAATTGTCGTTTAATTTGAGAGGTTGCTCCTACCTCACTTACTTGTTTTACCGGTGCCGCTTCTCTACTACCAAATTGTTGTGAGTTTGCGACCATGTTGGCTATCAAATTCCTAGCAACTATCGTTGTTTTATCCATTAAAGCTCCTCCACTGTCCGTATCAATATACTTCTCTCCATCGGAAGCAATCCTTCGTAGAAATATTGTAGAAGTAATTGCTCACTGATTTGGTGATTTGGGTAACTAGCACATAGCCTTTTGAATATCTCCCAATACTCATAGAGATTTTTCCCTTGAGATTGTTGAAGGCTGCAGATTTCTTTCCTGATGTTTGTAGCCTTTGAAGCTGGGAAATACCCCTCCAAAAAGAGCTTTTGCATTTCATTCCACGTGGTAATAAGATCGACCGACAAATAATAGAGCCATTTCTCAGCAATGTCTGCAAGAGAGAAAAGGAATGCACGCAATTTCACTTGCTCTTCCGATATACCCGACAATTTCATGCTTGAGCAAACTACATAAAACTCTTTCAAATGCTTATTTCGATCATCTCCGACGAATCCATGAAATGTGGGAAGTAGATGAATGATCCCGAACTTTAGTTCAAATCCCACATCCACTTGGGGATATTGAACGTTGTTGAACAAAAGTTGGAGCTGCAAGTTCCTTTAAGGTTCGATTTGCATCTGCCATTTTCGGGCTCTATGTGGTCAGAGTCACTTGAGGATTTATTGCTCAATCGCCTTAGATGTCTAGTTGGAGAAATGTCTTCTCCACTTCTCGATGTGTCGGTCTCTTTTCTTGATCTTAGGTTATAGTATGTTATAGGCTTTTTGCTCATTCATAACCCAAATGACAAAGAAAATAACAAAAATCAATAGAAAAACAACAAAATGAAAAATATTGCAATTAACAAATTGATAAAACAATCCCCGACGACACTGCGCCAAAATTAATACATTACAAATTACATTCCAATTAATTTTTCTTGCTTAACTTAAACGTGTCATCTTAAATAGTATTATGGCAAGTAAGGGTAATTTCCCGCAGATGATTGATTCAATTATATTAATTCGCACTAAAAAATAAAATTAATAATAATATATGAAATAGATTAAATGGGGAGTTTGGTTTGTTGAACTAAGGAAAGCGATAAATTTAAACTAGAAAAGACTTAAAATTTGAAATAAATAAAGAAAATGTGATTGGGGGATATTTCGTCGCCACGAGAATGATTTTCATATCAATAATCGCAAAAGATTTTCGTTCTCAAGATTAATAATAATTCGAGAATAATTTCAAGCTCAATTACCTCAATCTCTTCTTACATGTTAGTCGAATAAAACAAGCTCTTTACTCAACCCTATTCATTAAACAATCTAGAACAAGCTCTCTAGATTTAATTTAAGAAATGCATTACGACAAAAAGAGATGAATTGAATTAAGGGTAAACTCGCAAGCTCGGTTTACTAACTTAATTGTTATCCACATACATTCAATTGAAAATTATTCGTAATCTATTGAAATGTAATTGCTACTAGATTTTAGAATCAATAGCTATTACGTATTACTAATCCCAAAATAGCATTCATCGAAACAACTTAATCATTTAGTTGTACACCTAAACAATCAAGAAGAACAAAAGAAACATTTAACACAATGGATTAAACACATTAATCAAGAGAATTATAAAGTACAAATTAATTGAAAATCATAACTCGAGTTTGAAATAATCCTCAATCACAAATATAATTAGTTACTCATGAAATATTCACAAATAACAAACAATTTCTTACAAAGTATTGATGGAAAAAGTGAAAAGAAAAACTTATTGATAAAGAGAGAAATGGTAGAAAATCCTCAAATATCAATGGGTCATCTTCTCCAAACTAATGTACCATCTCCATATTCCAATCTTCCCCAAAATGTTTAAGAAAATATAGGTGAAAGGAAAAAGAAAAAGAAATAAAACAAAAGGCAAGAAGAAGAAGAAAAACCAGCTACTTCCCCAGAGTTCCAAGAATGAAAATATTGTGTTTGGTCGAATGTTTTAACCTAAAATCTAAAGGAAATTGCAGCATTGGTCCCTGAAATTTTGAAAACAATTAAAAACGGCCCGGGTGGCGCCTGGGCGCCCTAGTTTCTGTTTTCTGTTCGGTGCCCAGTCGTCTGAATTTTTATTTTTACTTTAATAGAAACATCTTCTTTCAATGTCTTCATGCTTCCTTTATCACGGCGCCCAACTCGGTGAATTTTTTTTTAATAAAAACATCATCTTTCAACGTCTTCTTGCTTCTTTTATCTTTTTCATCTTTTCTCGCATTAGTACCTTCAAATCATCGTTCGAAGTCGGGTTTTCGCCTATAGAATAAAAATAACTAAATTAAATAATAAATCGCTAATGAAACTCATAAACATCTAAGTTTAATGACTCGAAATAGTGCAAAAACCCGCACTTATCAATTAGAGTGCCTCGCTTGATATTATCAAGATTTTTTTAAGGGTGTGTTTGCTTACATTTATTTTTTTATGAAAAACATCAGTTTGTCACTCAAATTCCTACTTAGGGTGTTTGATTGCTATTTTTTTCATGGAAAACATTTTTCAACTTTTGAAAATATGCCTAATTTTCTTTGTTTTTAAGAAAAATATTTTTCTTGGGTGGAGGTAGTTTTTGTTTTCCTCAAAAGAAAGAAAACCTTTTTTTTAGGTGATATTTTTCATGTTAATTAAACGTACTTTAATAGTTTTTTAGTATTTGAATTTTGGAAGTCTTACTTAAATTACCATACATACCCTTTAATAAGATTCTTTTAGCTACATCATACAAATGTCATGTCTTAACTACATGTTTGAATCCAAATTCCAACTTACTCTTTCACTTGATTGAGGGAGAAAATTGAGCTCCTATTTGTCACCCATTATTTTGAAAATTAAAGAGTATTGAATAGTATTTTTTAGAGAATGTGTGGTTAAAAAGTAAATAAAATTTATTGATTTGTATGTAAAATATTTTATTGTATGAATACGTGGGGAATAATGATATTATAACAAATAATTTAAAATTTTAAAGAGTGACAAACAGGCTCTGAACTGTGAAGTTGCGATTTTTTTCGTTTTGTTGTTTGACGCTATGTATTAACTAGCATATGGGATCAATGAAAGTCGAAAATGCGTCATAGTTCGATACAATTTGATTTTTGTAGACATTATGCGGAGGTAAAATTTGAAGTAAATTAAGATTGATTGATTTAATTAGATGGTCCAAATTATAATTTGCCCTAAATAAAGGGTTCGAATGCAAAATGAGTGAATTAGGAAGGCAAATCTTTAAATTGGAGGAACTTTTGGAGAAAAGAACAAAAAACCTAAAAATATTTGAGTGCTTTATGCGCCCTGCTTGGCCTCCTTTCAAAAAATGGATAGAATAATTTTTTTTTTTTTAAATGAGTGATTGAAAAAGGAAGAATTTTTTTGATTATTTGTAATATTATTTTATGGAAGATCATGTGGTTAAAAATAAGAGAGAGGAAAATGAAATATAATTTAATAGGGCTATATGAACAAATTGAAAATTATGGTCTAAATTCAATATTATCTGTAAAGTATGGGTCTGAAATACAAAATTTCCGTCCCTTCTCATTCTTTCATCCCTCATTGGTCACACTCCATGTTCTTGGCCTCTACCCATTCTTGGAATGATTTCCACTCGCACTGAGCAGTGATTCATTATTTCACCAAAATACTGCAAAATCATGAAACTGTATGCCATTCTGTTGTTCCTTTTTTTCATTAATTCTGTTTTTTCTTGGAAAAAAGATGAGTTCAGAAACTGCAATCAGACCCCATTCTGCAAACGTGCCCGATCCCGGAAACCCGGCGCGTGCTCTCTCATCGCGACCGATGTCTCGATTTCCGATGGAGATCTTACAGCGAAACTCATCCCCAAAGATAAGGTTCAAGAAAATCTTGATAATCAAGAAATTCCTATTGTTAAGCCTTTGGTTCTCGCAATATCTGCATACCAAGATGGTGTCTTGAGGCTCAAGATTGATGAGGACCAGAGTTTAAGCCCACGCAAGAAGAGGTTTGAGGTGCCTGATGTGATTGTGCCAGAATTTTTGAACAAAAAGCTGTGGTTACAGAAGTTAAAATCTGAGAAAAGTGAAGATGGGTTGGGTATCTTGTCTGTTATTTATCTTTTTGATGGGTATGAGGGGGTGATTCGGCATGACCCCTTTGAGGTTTTTGTGAGGGAGAGTGGCAAAAATGGGAAAAAGGTGTTGTCTTTGAACTCAAATGGTTTGTTTGATTTTGAACAGCTGAGGGAGAAAAAAGAAGAAAATGAGGATTGGGAGGAGAGGTTTAGGAGTCACACTGATACGCGGCCGTATGGGCCTCAGAGTATTAGCTTTGATGTAGCATTCTATGATGCGGATTTTGTTTATGGCATTCCGGAACATGCCACTAGTTTAGCCTTAAAGCCAACTAGAGGGCCTGGAGTGGAGGATTCTGAGCCATACCGGCTTTTTAACCTTGATGTGTTTGAATATATTGCTGACTCGCCTTTTGGGCTTTATGGTTCCATACCCTTCATGATCTCCCATGGGAAGTCGCGTGGGAGCTCTGGGTTTTTCTGGTTGAATGCT